GAACCCCTCATTTATAGCTCCACCCTGAAGCCCGCACCCCCTCCCACACTTCAACCCACTGCCCCAGCCTGGAGCCCCCTCCCACACTGCAAACCCCTTGGCCCCACCCCCCCAGCCCAGAGTTCCCTCTTGCACCCCAAACCCCTCATTCCCGGCCTCACCCCAGAGCCTGCACCCCCAGCCAGAGCCCTCACCCCCTCCCGCAGCCCAATCCCCTGCCCCAGGCCGGTGAAAATTTAGCGAATGAGCGAGAGTGGAGGAGAACGAGCAACAGAGGGAGGGGGGAATGGAGTGAGCAGGGGCGGGGTGTCAGGGAAGGGGCAGGGCCTGAGGCCAAGGGTGTTCCGCTTTCTGCAATCAGAAAGTTGGCAGCCCTACCCAGTATGTTGAGGTTGATCCCTGTCTGGTGCGCCCACCCCAGTATATTAGAGCTGACCCTGATATGTTGGGGCCAATCCTTGCATAGTGGGGCCCAGCCCAGTATATTGGGGATGACCCGGTGTATTAGTGCTCACCATAGGCACCGACTCCATGGGTGCTCCGGGGCTGGAGCACCCATGGGGAAAAATTGGTGGGTGTTCAGCACCCAGGGATGGCTCCAGGCACCAGCAAAGGAAACAGGTACTTGGGGCGGCCAATGGTAAGGGGCGGCCCGTCTGGGTCTTCGGCGGCAGGTCCCTCAGTCCCTCTCGGAAGGAAGGACCTGCCGCCGAATTGCCGCTGATGAATGAAGCAGCGCGGTAGAGCTGCTTCACCGCTTGGGGCGGCAAAAAAGCTGGAGCCGGCCCTGTCAGCACCCACCGACAGCCAAGCTCTCCACCCCACCCTGCCCTGCCTCACCTCCTCCCCTGAGCGCGCCGCGTGCCCGCTTTTTCCCCTAGCTCCCAGTGCTTGGGCTGTGAAACAGCTGTTTCGTGTGGCTGGGAGGGAGGGGGAGGAGGGGGGAACACGGTGCTCTCGGGGAAGAGGCGGGCCTGGGGAGGGGTCCAATGGGGGCAGGGAGGGGGCAGAGTTGGGGCAGGGATTTTGGGGAAGGGGTTGGAATGGGGGTGGGGCAGGGCTGGGGAAGGATGGAGTCGGGGCAGGGCCGGGGGCGGGGGGGTGCGAGCGCCCACCGGTGCCGGGTAAAGTTGGCACCTATGGTACTCACCCCTGTCTAGCGGGGCTGACCCTGATATATTAATGCTGACCCCAGTATAGCAGGGCCCATTCTGATATATTGGTGCTGATCCTGGTATAGTGGGGCCCATAGGATCTCGAGAGATCATTTAGTCCAGTCCCCTGCACTCACGGCAGGACTAGGTATGATCTAGACCATCCCTGACAGGTGTTTGTCTAACCTGGTCTTAAAAATCTCCAATGACGGAGATTCCACAATCTCCCTGGGCAATTTATTCCAGTGTTTAACCACCCTGACAGTTAGGAAGTTTTTTCTATGTCCAACCTAAACCGCCTTTGCTGCAATTTAAGCCCATTGCTTCTTGTCCTGTCCTCAGATGTTAACAAGAACAATTTTTCTCCCTTCTCCTTGTAACAACCTTTATGTACTTGAAAACTGTTATCATGTCCCCTCTCAGTCTTCTCTTCTCCAGGGTAAACAAACCCATTTTTTTCAGTCTTCCTTCGTAGGTCATGTTTTCTAGACCTTTAATCATTTTTGTTGCTCTTCTCTGGACTTTCTCCAATTTGTCCACATCTTTCCTGGAATGTGGCACCCAGAACTGGACACAATATTCCAGCTGACGCCTAATTAGGACAGAGTAGAGAGGAAGAAGTACTTCTTGTGCCTTACTTACAACGCTCCTGCTAATACATCCCGGAATGATGTTTGCTTTTTTTGCAACAGTGTTACAATGTTGACTCATATTTAGCTTGTGATCCACTATAATGCTGGTTAAACACTGGAATAAATTGCCTAGGGAGGTTGTGGAATCTCCATCTCTGGAGATATTTAAGAGTAGGTTAGATAAATGTCTATCAGGGATGGTCTAGACAGTATTTGGTCCTGCCATGCGGGCAGGGGACTGGACTCGATGACCTCTCGAGGTCCCTTCCAGTCCTAGAATCTATGAATCTATGAATAATCCCCAGATCCCTTTCTGCAGTTCTCCTTCCTAGGCAGTCATTTCCCATTTTGTATGTGTGCAACTGATTGTTCCTTCCTAAGTGGAGTACTTCACATTTCTCCTTATTGAATTTCATTGACTTTGTGGGGAGGGATAGCTCAGTGGTTTGAATATTGGTCTACTCAACCCAGGGTTATGAGCTCAATCCTTGAGGGGGACCACTTAGGGATCTAGCACAAAATCAGTACTTGGTCCTGCTAGTGAAGGCAGTGGGCTGGACTCAATGACCTTTCAGGGTCCCTTCCAGTTCTAGGAGCAGGGCAGGCACCAGCTTGCCAAGCAGGTGCTTGGGGTGGCCACTCTGGAGAGGGGCAGCATGTCCAGCTATTTGGCGGATGGTCCCTCACTCCCACTTGGAGCAAAGGACTTGCCGATTGCAATCGTGGCTTTTTTTTTTTCCACTTGGGGCGGCAAAACCCCTGGAGCCAGCCCTGTCTATGAGATAGGTATAGCTCCATATATTTATTTTTTATCCTGTTTACTTCAGACCATTTCTCCAAATTGTCCAGATCATTTTGAAATTTAATCCTATCCTCTAAAGCACTTGCAACCCCTCCCAGATAAGTGTACTCTCTATGCCAGCGTTTCTCAAACTGGGGACGCAGACCCTGGGGGTCCGTGAGGGTACTCCGGAGGGTCCGCGGGCCCCGCTGATAAACACCTGCCCCTCCCTCAACTCCGCCCCGTTCCTCCCAGTGCCTCCTGCACATGGCGGAACAGCTGTTCAACAGTGTGCAGGAGGCACTGGGAGGGAGGAGGAGGAGCGGGGACATGACGTGCTCGGGGAAGGCGGTGGAAAGAGGCAGGAGAGAGAAGGGGCAGAGGGTGAAGTGGGGGTGGGAAGAAGTGGAGTGGGAGCGGGGCCTGGGGCTGAGCGAGGGGCTTGGGGGTCCTTGGGTTGCTAAAGTTTGAGAACCGCTGCTCTATGCGGAGATGGGGACTCCGGGAAGGGGCGGAGAAGGGGCAGGGCCTCAGGGAAGGGGCAGGGCTAGGGTGTTCAGTTTTGTACAATTGGAAAGTTGGCAAAACTAGTTCGTGGAGGGGTGTCCTGTGACAGGTCCAAGCCCGGCTGTCCGGGTTCAGGCCAGGCCACCCCAGCCGCGGCTGGGTTTAGGCTGCCGTGGCTGGGTCTAGGCCGGGCTGTTCGGGCTGGGCCACGCTGGCCGGGTTCAGGCCGGGGTGGGGTGCCCTGGCTGGGCTGTGGCAGGTCCGGGCCGCGGCATAGTTGGGGACGGGGAAAGGTTGGGGGCAAGTTGGTGGCTGGGCTAGTTTGGGGCTGGGGGAGGGGTGCCCCTCCCCTGGCTGGTCCCTGGGTGGGTTCCCGGAATGCCTGCGAGGCACTAAACAGGGTGATGTGTGGCCGCATGGCTTACAGGGAACTTAGCCCTTAATAATGTCTCTGAAAAACTACCAACTCTCTTGAACTGTTTTTCCCCTTAGACTTGCTGCCCACAGGATCCAGGTATATTGGTGCTGACCACAGGACAGCAGGCCTCATCGCAGTGTATTGGTGCTGACCCTGGTACACTGTTGCTCACTCTGGTGTAATTGGGGCCAATTCTGATGTGGTGGGTCCAACCCTGGCACACTGGTGCCCTGGGTACAGCAGGGCTACTCCCAGGTTAGTGGTGCTCATCTCAGTGTGCGGTAACTCACTCCACAAGGAGCGTGCCCCTGATCCATCACAAAGGCTTGGGCGCCCGCACATCCCGATCTCCCATTCCCCAGGGCACTGCACGGGTACAAAACATGGGCATGAACCAGGCCTCCCTCTGCAGCCAGAGCATATGGGTGGTTTCGGGTGGGCTGGATCAGCTCCCCAGCACCTGCCCCTGCCTCCCCTCCAGAACCTGCCCCCTTGGGACTTGCCCCACACCCTGGGGGAGGAGGGGGGGGTGTATGAGTTTCCCCAGCCCCGCCCTCTCTGGGAGGGGCTTATGTCAGGGCGATGCTGATTGGCTGTCCAGTATGGGGCGGAGGGAGCGGGGAGCGAAGCTGGCTGTCAGGCTGGTTCCCTCAGCGGGCGAGCGCATGCGCAGTGCGAGAGCGCTCCGTGGCACTGACTCACCGCCGGCACTTCCGGCCGCACCATTTTGTTTCCGGGTCAGCGGGGCGCGGCGGCTCCTTCCTCCGCCCACAGCCCAACCGGTCGCAGCAACCGCCGGAGCCGCAGGAGGGA